AAAGGGATCTAAAAGAATAGGTTCTTGATTCTGGTTGTACCTTTCACATGTGCCCCATTAGAGATTGGTTCTCTGAATTTGTTAAACTTGATGGGAAGAAGATCCAAATGGGAAATGACATGAGTTGTCAAATTAAAAGAATATGGAAACTAAAATTAATGTTGAGCAACAATTATATTCTTAACAAACACTAGATATGTTCCTGAACTCAAAAAAAATCTAATCTCTTTGAGAGAATTAGATGATAACTATAACATAATGATCCACAAAGGTATTTTAAGACCTAACCTTGATAACAGAAATATCATCTCCTCTCCTAAGATAAATGGTATCCATACCATTTGTGCTGAACCTTCAGTAGGTCACAGTGTTATTGCTTTAAACTCTTCCTTAACCAAATCCTTAATCTGGCATAGAAGGTTTGGCCACATTTCTGAAAAGGGATTAATTTCCTTAAACAAACTTGGATGCTTTGGGAATAATAACATTGAAAAGTTAGATTTTTGTGAAGACTGCATAATTGGAAAACAAACAAAATGCCTTTCAAAACTGGACTTCACAAATCCACCTCCATCTTAGACTATCTACATGCTGATCTTTGGGGACCAGCTACTGTAAATACTCTAAGTGGATATCGATTTTATCTACTAATAGTAGATGATTTTTCAAGGAAAATATGGACTTTTCTTGTAAGGCAAAAATCTGACACTTTTCAAACTTTTAAACATTGGAAATTGATGATTGAAAACCAAACAAATAAGAAAATCAAAGCACTTAGAACAGATAATGGACTTGAGTTTTGTAATTCTGAATTTAATTCTTTCTGTAAAGAATTTGGAATCTTAAGACACAGAACTGTGACTTGCACTCCTCAAGAAAATGGAGTTGCTAAAAGGATGAATTGAACTCTATTGGAAAGAGTCAGGTGTATGCTTCACAGTTCTGGTCTTCCAAAACTGTTTTGGAGAGAAGCCCTAAAAACTGCAACTTATTTGATAAATAGAAGCTCATCTAGTGCTATTGATTTCAACATTCCTGAAAAATTGTGATCAGGAAAAATGCTATATTATAGTAAACTTAAGGTGTTTGGCTGTGCTGCCTATTCACATCAAAATGAAGGAAAATTAGAACTTATATCCTTAAAATGTGTTTTTCTGGGTTATGGGGAGGAGACTAAGGGTTATAGACTTTGGGTTAAAAAACAACATGGTTACAAGGTTATATTGAGTAGGAATGTCATTTTCAATGAAAATATATTTCCCTGTAATAGCTCATCAACTCCTAAATCTGATGAGCCTGCACTTGTGAGAGAGAAATCTTAGTGGAAGATCAAACTGGAACTGATATAGATCAACATGATTTGATTGAGGTGGAGTCTACTCAATCTAGTAATGATAGTAATCATAATGATCCAGGATCTAAGGCTGAATCATTAGACCTATCACTTGCTTATTATCAACTTACAAGGGATAGAAAAAGAAAGAACATAATACCTTCTACCAGATTCAGTAATAATGACTTTGTCACCATGTTTTTTGTTTTAGACTCCTTTAACGTCGAACTCGATAATTTTGAAGAAGCAATAAACTGTCCTGACTCTAAGCTTTGGAAGGAAGCTATGAATGAGGAAATAGATTCTTTAATCAAGAATAAAACCTGGGTTCTTGTCAACAAACCTAAAGATAAAAGGGTAGTTGACTGTAAATGGATTTTTAAAATAAAACAAGGAGACTCTAAAACGGAAAATAAAAGATATAAGGCCCGATTAGTGGCTAAAGGTTTCACCTAAAAGGAAAGAACGGATTTTAAGGAGATTTTTTCACTAGTTGCCAAATATACTTCAATCAGAATTTCATTGGCCTTGATTGCCCACTTTGACTGGGAACTGGAACAGTTTGATGTTAAAACAGCCTTCCTAAATGGTGATCTTGATGAAGTCATATACATGAATCAGCCTAAGGGCTATGAAGTAAAGTCTAAAACTGAAAAGGTTTGTTTGCTGAAAAAGTCCCTATATGGGCTGAAACAGGCTCCCAGACAGTGGTACCTGAAGTTTAATTCATATGTTTAGACCATGGGTTTTGAGAAAAGCAGCTATGACTCCTGTTTGTTTTTCAAAGTGTCAGGAGGACCTGAATCTATATATCTATTATTGTATGTAGATAATATGTTACTTGCCTGTCATAATAAATTTGAAATTGAATCTATTAAATCAAAGCTAAAGTCTGAATTTGAAATGAAAGATTTAGGTCCAGCCAAAAGGATTCTTGGTATGGAAATAGAAAGGGACAGATCTAGCTGTACTCTAATTCTAAAACAGTCTGCATATAATACTCGAAAATTTTTCTATGCTTGGGTGTAAATCTATTTCCTTACCTATTGCAAATCATTTTAAACTTTCTAGTGATCAATCACCTAAGTCTAATGATGAATTGAAAAGAATGGAAAAGGTTCCCTATGCTAATGTTGTAGGATCTATTATGTACCTTATGGTTTGTATCAGACCTGATTTAGCTCATGGTATTAGCATCCTAAGTAGGTTTATGGCTAATCTTGGGGAAACTCACTGGTTAGCTATAAAGTGGATGGTGAGATACTTGAAAGGCTCAATTAACTTAGGACTAAAGTTTAAAAGAAGTAATAAAGGCATAATTTTAAAGGGGTACACTGATTCAGATTTTGTTGGTGATCTTGATAAAAGAAGATCTACATCCTCTTATATCTTTACTTTGTGTACTACTTGTATTAGTTGGAAATCTCAGTTGCAAAAATTAGTTGCATTGTCCTCAACAGAGGCTGAGTATATTGCTGCATGTGATGTTGTGAAAGAGAGCATATGATTTAGAGGACTGTTAAATGAAATTGGTTTTGTAAATGAATCTGTTAGTATTCATACTGATAATCAAAGTGCAATTCATTTAAGTAAAAACCCTGTTTATCATGATAGGATAAAGCATGTTGATATAAGATTTCACTTTGTTAGGAATATGGTTGAAAATGGCTTAATCAATCTAGTTAAAATTCCTACAAAATATAATCCCTCTGACCTTGGAACAAAAATTTTGCCACTTAATAAATTTAAAAACTGTTTGAAAATTCTGAATATAACCTAAATTGTAATTAGGTGATATTCGGTAACTCATTTGTTGAGAATAATACTAACTCTAAATTTTTTTTCAGGTACAATAGAGCTAAATGAAGTCAAGAAATGTTTGAATCCACTAGTTGAAATAAAGAAATAGTTCAACAAGGTGGAGAATGTTAAAAGGATGGGCTGCCTCACTATTTCTTCTTAATTGGGCCCTACTAATTGAAAATAGGAGGAGGCCCAAATCTCTTAACATATTCTCGCGTTTTCTGGTTTCACGCTTTTGTGCCTCTTGTGGTTGGGTGTGTGCCGTACACGTGGCACACCCCCTATCGTTAGATATAGCCAGTCCAACTGATTTTGATATTTACTTAGCTCTTGGTCGTCCGGCGTTTTAGTTGCACTCTCTCTAGAACTTTATGTCTTTTTCTCTGTGTGAAAGTCTGTTCGTTTTTTTCCTTTCTATGAAATGTAATACTAAATCTGTATGATTTTTGAAAGTCCTTTGAGTAAGGATTGTAAAGTTCGAGTCATCTTTGTGATATTGTTGAAAGGAAATCTGTGTGAAAAAGAGGCTAGAGAAAGTTGAAGAAATCTGAGATTTCTTCGAACATTTTGTACTGTTCTTCGTGAAAATTAGTGGAAACTCCATCATATCTCTTGATTAAGGCTCAACGGGTGATTAGGTCCTTGGACTGAACATCTGGGCTCCATTTTGGAGCAAAACATATCTGGTGTTCAAATTTCGTTTATTCTATCTTTTATTCTGAAATCATTTTTTTTTTTTGGTTCGTGAATAAACCTTTAAAATACAAGATTATATCAACTCTGGACCAACAAGTGGTACGAATATTAAAAAATTAATAAATAAATTTGAATTCGGTCCTCCTGCTGTACAATCTGAATCAAACTAAAAATATGTCCGTACAGAAGAGATAAAAGAATGAGACTAGTGAATTAGGTCTACATTAATTCATTGAAGAATTTTGAAGATCCTGCCATCTCCCAGAGTTGAACATAAATCCTGAAAAAAATAATAATAATAATAAATAAATAAATAAAAATCAAATCGTATGTAATATTTATTACATAGGAAACGAAAAATCATATTCGATGTGATAAGAATCGACATTTGTTTGGTTGAAACTAACAACAAAATCTGACCAAATTTAATCCTTTTTTTTCCATTCTAAGTAATATCTAGTTACCAAATGCATCAGTTTCGGAACAAATATATACACTGTTTTCATTAACTTTTCCACATTCCACTAAAATTGGCAAATGAAACACTATAAATCTGAATAAGAAAAGGAATCAAATTCATTAAATATATCCGTGCAAGGAAGTTTTGTAGTGAAGCACCTCAAGACAAGATGACAAGTCCAAGATAAATAGCTCCACAAAGAAATATGAAAGATATCATTCCCCTGCAAGACAGGCTCTTCGATAAGAAGAAATCCCGAATATTCACAACTTCAACCATAAAAACACACAGCACTTAGCATTAAACTTACCAAATTACTCCCCATGCAGCACCATTACAAGGGCAAGGGCACAGTTCTGCAAACTTCTCGGCATCACTAGAGTGAACCCTCCGACATATCAAATCATCGTATATATCTGCATCATAGAAAATTAGCACACTTCATTCTGTCGTGACAGTGGCTTTATTCTATTATACTTGAAGTAGAGTTCTTACCGTAAACTGAGAACAAACTATTCATGACTCCTGAAGATCAGATGAACACGCATAAGCAATGAGAAGTTCTGGAAATAATAAAATATCAGGACAAGGCCCATACCAATGAATAGAATAATATAGCGGAGAATGCGAACTTTAGTCATCTCTTGTAGAACCCATATAATACCAATAAAAATAATAAATCCTGGCAAGATGGAAAATAAGAATCAATATCTTGGGTAAAATGAAATTACGATGCTTATGATTGACATAACTCACCAATGCAAAGTCCCCGTAGCGTCCACTGTTCAACGTTCAAGAAATTAGTACAGTACAGTCCATCACAAATTTAAAATAACCATGCATGATCTGAAATTGGCTCATTGACTATTTAGCAGGAATTATTTACTGAGCTTACATTTTTAGCAATGCAAAGCACAATAAGAAGAGAGAGAATAAGACATCCAGCAGCAATCCTTGCAGTGAGAAGATTTGTTGATGCAAGGATGAGAACCATACCCCAAAATGATGAACCAAGATCTATAACGGACAAAGGAGAATGACTAATTAACACAACCAGATAATAAAGCGAAAGACGATAGTGAATGAAGAAGTTAACCAAATTTAACAAAGTGATCCATGATAAACTAGCATAAATGGATAAATAAATCTTTCAGATTACAGAAGGGTGAAAATTAAGTAGAAAAGAGTATTACATCCAGCCGGCAAAATCAGCCAATACACACCACCTCGTGTTTGCGTCACCCCACCTTCATTTGCATGGACTTGGATACCCTCCACCTGCAAAATGAGATGATAGTAATAACTTGTGCTTGAGCCTAAACATAGAATGGCCATCAAATAGAAAAATATTTGACAAATTCGGGTACTGTTCAAAAACAAAACTACTTTTAAGTATCATTGGGAATATAACGGAAAGATGTATAAAAAACTTAAAATTACATATCTAATAAAAGTTTTTTCCGCGTGTAATGGAAAGCAACAAGTATCTTCAATCATCATTGCTTAATAACGGGGATGGAAGAGATCGAATCAACAACAAATAACAAGCCAAATTCTCTGATATAAAAGTTTGCAATTAGAATGTTGAACAAAGATTGCAGAATGGTGTGGAATGAATAATGCCAGCATTATATTCCGTATCATATGATACAGATTCGTCTTTTAGAAGTTATAAATTTATGACTACTATTAAGTACCATTGTGACATAGATTATATGTTCCTTGAAAGGATGTCCCTGTGTTAATGTAGCAACAGTTCTAGAAATATAGATATGCTTTTCCCTCAATAGAATCATAAGAGTTTATCCATTGAGTCTCTGCAGTAACTACAACATACATACTTTGTTATTCTCAATTTCAAATTAGATCATTACCGCATGATATTCTATTTTCATATTTATGAATGCAACATATTGAGCCCCTGTTTGTTTCCCTTTTTTAATTAAGACTAAATTTTGAAATAGTTAATTGATGAAGAATGTGTGGTTAAGAAATAAGAAAAAAAGTTTTAGTTTTACGTGTAATATTATTTTATTGAAGAATGTGTGGTTGAAAAGAAGAGAGAGAAAAAGGTATCTTGAGAAAATACGGGTATCAAACAAGGGCTGAATTTCCTTTTATGTGTACAAGCATGCTATGTACCTTTCTCCTACAATTCTCTTTCGACTTCAACATATTGAATTGAGCTTCTACCTCAATGCCTAGAAACGATATGGAGAAAGAGCTTTTACCTTACCACAAGTGAGCTTACAAGCAATTGCATGACTTGCTTCATGAAGAAATACAGTAATGAGCTTAAAAGGTGTTAGTAAAAATGTCCTCCATAACTGTTATAAGCATAGTAGAAATAACTGTTAGTATCAGGAATCTCATCAAAGAGCTCAAGTAAAAAATGGGTTACACAAATATACCCAATAAAGAAGAACAAAATAAAATATCAATAGAGAGCTCTTTCGTTTGCTTAAAACATCCTACGACATGCTTAAAATTGAATGGAAACATCTAAATAACATGGAAAACTGATTGCTAAATGGCTGTAATTGTCAACTCAAAGGAATGTCTTTTCCAATGTCTAATATAGAATAACAAAGAAAACTGATTGCTCAATGTAGGTAATTGCTTACCGTGGCTGCATAAATTGTGAAAAATTTAACAGCCCTTCAATTAGCATATTTTCAGCCTTCCTTCATCATGGATTGCAATTGAGCCGTGCCAACCCAAAAATAGGTTTTCAAGCCTGCTGGATTATAGTAAGACCTCTAAAATTTAGTCCAGACGTGGCTCAATTTCTCAACAAACTACGAGAGAGTCGAGCTTGAACAGCTTTAATAACTTGCCAATATTTTCTTGTCCATTAATTATCAACCAGATCTTGATCTAGCTTGAGAAGTCGACAAAGTCTAGCTATAGAAACTGATTCTTACATGATATTCAATCGGGCGTGTAGGATTGCAGAGATTATTGACAATACAGCTCTTTCCAAAAACTAACAAATAAATTTATCAGCAACCTTAACTCGTAAGTCATAAATTACATTCCAATTGACTCGGAATGAAAAAAAAAAAAAAATAACAATGGGATGTTTTTACAGAGATTATATCAATTTATTATTCCTTGGCTCTTCAGATCATGTAACCAGCGATTACGAAATCCAATAAAACAAAAAGGGAAAGAAAAATTAAACAAGTTTAAAAGGAAGCAACATCATAAGTTCATAATTTTTGAAATTTATGCTTGACAGAAATTAATGAAAAAAATACATACATAAAAGAGGATTATACATTGCAAAAGGCACTGTACTTTGAATCTACCCAAAAGTAACATGATAAAAAATAAAAGATACTAGAAAGGACAACAGCCTAAAGAGAGAGAGAGAGAGAGAAAAAAAAAAAAAAACGAACAGCGAGAATGACGAGAGTGAAGACACCAACTGTTGCAAGAAAAACTTTTTGATCATGCTGGCAACAATTCTTCAACTCCCAGTTCGGATTCATGCCTCTCTCTTTCTCTTTTTCTCTCTCTAGTAAAAAATAAACGAAAAAAATAAAAAATAAAAATTCCAATTGGATGGGGGAAGGAGAAGAGAAAAAGACGAGATTTTTCCACCTAGGTGGAAAAAATCAAGAACCCAATTGGAGGAGAGAGAGAAGAAGGAGAGTTTTATTTTTTGAGAAATGTTTGTTTGAAATTGTCTGAGGAAGGACAGAAATAGAGTTAGTTAATTACAATTAACAAAAAGGATGGTGCGAAGTTTCTTCGCTGACCTACTAAGTAACAACTTTTTGTCGTTTCCGACATTGACTAGGTCTCTTGGGTTGAGCTTATGTGTCAGTAATGGGCCACTTTAAACGTGCATTCATGATTGGGCCTCCATTATATATCCAACCCTGTAACGCAAAGCCCAAAAGCCCTATTAGTGTATGTGGATAAATTAATGCGGAAATTACATAAACCAATACATTTAGAGATTCCATTTCATAAATCATACATTAGGTTTACTCTTTCAAAAATCAGATTTTTTTATTAATTAATATATTTAAAAATTAATTAATTAATATATGGTAAAATTAATTAATTTACTTTACACAATTTCAAACCCTAAATTATTTCTCCATCACTTCTCTCTCTCTCTCTTGCCTCTATCTCTTTGTCGAAAAGCAACCTACGGGAGTATCTCTATGCGAGGCAGCTCTATTGTCGACAACGTAGCACCACCACCACATGAAGTGACATGTACCTATCACTACATGCAGCTCGAAGTGGCTCCGTTGCAATGGCATTGTTGTATGCTCTATCTTCCCTCCTTTCCTTCTCCATTCTCTATCTATAGGCGGTGACAGCGTCACGTGCCACCGCTGCACGAAGTGGCCCGTGAAAGTTACTGCAGCAGCTCAAAGCGGCACTTATAGGCCGTGACACAGCACTATGCTGCAGTCTCTATGATATTTGTGTTGTGGTTTCTTCTTTTGATCTGTACCTTTACCAGAGGTTGGGTGTTTTTGTTGGTGATTATTGGTGACTATTGTTGGTGTTATGTAAATGGTGATGGTGGTGGTGGTGATTATGATGACGGTGATGGTATAGATTTGGATCTTGGTATTTGGTTGTCGTGTTGGCGGAGCTCGTTTGATGGTGGTGATGTTGGGGATACTAGTGAGGTTGTGATAGTACTAGTTATTTTTATGGGATAGATTTTGTTGGTTGTGTTTGTAGTTGGTGCTAGCGGCAATGACAATCGCGATGGTGGTGGTGGTTGTAATGGTAGTGCGGTGGTTGTGCTTGGGGTAAAGTGTGGCATGGGGTGGAAAGAGGACTGTATGTGACCAATTATTTAATTAATTATGACTAGTTAATTGGTTAATTTGTGGTTTAAAAAATGTGATTGTAACTCATAATTTGTTAAATTGTGATCAAGAAATAACATGTGATCGAAAAAATTGTTAATCTGTGATCGATAATTTGATAATTTGTGACCGTATAATAAATTATGACTTATAACATTTGTTATTTGTGATTGATAAATAAATTGTGATTTATAAATTTTTTATTTGTGATCGATGAACATATTGTAACTTTAAAATAATTTGTGACATATTAAATTTTGATTTGTAATCGAAAAATAATATTTGACGAATTAAATCGTTAACTTGTAACCAAATCTTATAAATCTATGACCTTAATATATTTAATTAATAAAATTTATAATTAATTAATTAAATCATAAACAAAATTTAATAAATATATGATTTTTGAAATTTGAAACATTTGTTTTTAGGGAAAATTTCATAAGTAAGAGTTTAAGTACTACACATTTCAAAATCAAGAAAATAACTTTCAAACTTCAAAAAATTAGATTTTTATTAAAATTTATCTCTGACTTTATTTATTTATTTTATTATTTTATTAAGTAAATATATTTAGGTCACAGAACTATACAATTTGGTCACGAATTAACAATTTAATTAATAACTTATTATTTTTTGGTCACAAATCAGAAATTTTATATCACAAATTATTTTACGATCACAATTTAAAATTTTTGTAAGTCACATTTTGTTCATCGGTCACAAATCAAAAAATTGATTAGTCACAAATTAATTGTTAGTCACAACTTATCAATTTATTGATCACAACATATTTCTCAATCATAAATCAAAAATTTTATAGTTCACATATTATTTTTCATCACGAATAAAAAATTTTATGGGTCACAAATTATTCATTGGTCACAGAATCAAAATTTTTATTGGTCACAACTCATTTATTCATTGCAAATTATTAAATTAATTAGTCACTATTAGTTTTTCAGTCACAACTTAATCAATTGTAAGTCACAGTCACACATTCAGTCACATATTATTTACCGATTATGAATTAACGATTTGTTGATCAAATTGGTCACAAACACTCTCTTCATCCACTGCAATACAGCCGACCACCACTTCGCCAAATCCACCACCTAAATCCCCAAGACCACCACTACTCCAACAAAACAAAAAACACCACCACCACCATTACCCACACTACCGCACCACAACCACACTACTCCAACAACCAAAAAACTCCACGACCACTGTTACGCCCCTATCTGAATCACTTCGGAAAGTCCACCACCACATCATGCGAGGTGTGGAACGTTTATCTGAAGTGTTCCGCTATCTGAACCACTTTAGAAAGTCCACCACCACATCATGCGAGATGTGAAACACTCATTCGAAGTGGTTCCGAAGTGATTTCACCAACGGTGACGATCTACTATCACACTACGAGGCATAGGCAATTATGAGGGACTGACCGAAGTGCCCTCGCCCCTAAATCCGAGGCAAAATGTACTCCGGAGACCTCTACCAGAGGATCCGCCGCCAATTTCAGAATGAGATCTTTATCAGAATCCTTTCTGCACCTAAGGTTTAAAGTGATTTGACATCTACATGAGGCTAGTTGATGTGACGTATCAACTTTATGTCAACTCAACTCGGGAGAAGTAATTACCCGCATACTCTATAAACGCGGCTGATTAATGCCTATGAGCAGACGCCTCATACCATCAGATGTATACATGTGCCCCACATCCAACGGCTTTCCTCACCTATAAATACCCAATGCTTGGCAAGAGGCAAAGGTAATGAAACTTTTATTACTTAGCACTCCATAGCAAACAAACATATATTCTCTTTCCCACTATTTTGCACTACCTTGGTACTATTCTAATAACCTGAGCCTTACTTGACCGTCGGAGTGTATACGATCGCCGCCATCCCTGCTAGTTTCGACCGTGTGCATCTGACCGTGCGTTGATTGTACGCAGGGAGGAATACATGGAGTGGCTATCGATTGGCCACGTGGAGGGTCCAATTTTCGAGGTCAACAGATTAGCGACGTCTGTGGGTAGCTTCCCGTTCAAAGTTCTGCATTCTCCACAGAAGAAATCACCGAAAAACTAGCGACTTACCCTAAAAAGAGCACGTTCTTGAAAAAGAACAAAGTCGAGTTATAATCCAAATTCTCATCACCTTTGAAAAAGGAGATAGAATGAGTTCCAGCCATGAAGACGATAACCCCATGAGAAAGCCCTTTGAAGAAGAGGTGCTCCATAACAATATCACTCACCAGAGAACCCATCACCGACGTCGCCGAGGTGAAAGAACAGCCATGCTCACTGAAGGAATGACTCAAATAACGGCGGGCATGAGAGACATCGCAGCTCAAAATATGGCGATGCATGAACTTCTCATGCAAGCCCGAGGTCATCAGGGCTCTCAAATGTCCCGAGGATCTTACCCAGTGCAGGAAGCCTCTGTATCTCGTTCCCGAGGCCATATGAGTCGGCACAGAGAACGTCCCCTCGAAAGAGAAGTGGGTGCGCAGGCCACATCCTTTGTACAGGGAAGCCAGCCGGCAGAACCACAGCTAGGGGACAATTTCCCTCAAGAATATGAGGAACAAAGATCAGTAAGTGTCTTCGGCCGAATAGGGCAGGACTCTAGCAATAGGGTTTGCTCAGTGCGAAGATCAGTTTGGCAAGACCAGGAGCAAGAACAGGCACCTCTTCCTCTTAGAAATAGGAGGGATAGGAATAACCTAGTCGATTGGGGGAGCCGAGGAGAAGCACCTCCACCTCCCTAGGATATCCAAGATGATGAAGGGTCAGATGGACCTTGTCGATCTTATGAAATTGACGATGATGATGATGATAACATCCATTTCTTAAGAGAGATCTGAAGCTTCCCAATGCCAGCAAACTTCATGCCCCCTAAGATCCCCAAGTATGATGGAAAAGGGGACACGGAGAAGCATCTCACCAAGTACATGACACAGGTGAGCCTGAGGGGAGCCTCGCTTACTTTGAAGTGTAGAGCCTTCCACTTAACCCTGGGCGGATCGGCTGAAGTGTGGTATAACAGACTTCCTCCCCTGAGTATTAGGAGTTGGCCAAATTTGAAGAAAGTATTCTTGAACCAATACCTCTCACGCAGAGAATGAGAGACCCCAGTGCAACGCCTGCAAGATATGAGGCAGGCCTCTGGAGAGACATTGAAAAGTTATCTCGCCAGATTTACAGACAAAATCACATACTGCGAACAGGTCACTGACAGAGAAGCCTTTTCGATTTTTAAAAGCGACCTCAACATGAACACTTTGTTTTGGAGGGAAGTGCGCAGCAAGAATCCTGCCACCTATGACAAACTGGTGAAAATTATGAGAGTGGAAATCGTCAGTGAAGAAATGATTGATCACCGAAACCACGCCGCGTAGGGACTCTCTTCGCCTCAGAGGCAAGTAGGTCGAGGACCCGTAGCGCACCTTGTCACTCAACAATGGACTCAAGCAGGTCACACAATAGCACCCACCTCCGGACAGGCACTAGCCTCCGCCACACTGAATGTAGTGCCAGTATTGGCATACGAGAATACTCCCGACAAAGCAGGACCATCTGGAAGCGCTGATGGTAAGAAGAAGAAGAAGAAGAAGAAGCGATCAAATAGGCCCTTGGAAGGGGCAATGTTTTGCACATTCCACCAACTCTATGGGCAAGACACCAGTGAGTGTCGAGACGCTAATCGATGCCCGGATCGAAGTAACCCATGTCCTTCCAGCAGGAGCGAATATTCTCACAGAGCCGCCTTCCCGAACAGGGGAGAGAGAGGGCATAGAGATCAATCACCCCGGAGAAGAGAATCAAGGGACCGAGGACAGTCTAGACAGAGCAATCAGGCCCCATTCTCTGGGAGCCAAGTCATCGGGGAGATCGAAATAATTATTAGGGGACCCCACATCGATGGCAACACCAGGAATGCCCAAAGGAATTACACAAGGGAAGCAAAGGACC